GAGCAAATGTTTCAAGAAGATAAATTATATAAAAAAGAACATGGCATCAGGATTGGAGGAAGACTGATCAATAACCTACATTATACAGATTACAAAACTCTGATTTGCTGAACATGAGGACAACTTGAAGTACTTGCTGCAGAAGATGAAAAAACTGCCTTCAATATGGATTGCATCTCAACATCAAGAAAACAAAAATTCTCACCACTGAACTGACAGTCAACATAATGACAGATGGAGGAAAGATTGAAACTGTCAATGACTTCATCTTACGTGGCTCCACAATCAATGTATTTGGTGTCAGGAGATCAGGAGAAGTATTACACTGGGAAAGACTATAGTCTGGAACCTCTCCAAATTATTGACAAGCAATGATGTCAGTCTGAGGACTAAGGTAAGTTTTATTCAGGCTCTGGTCTTTTCAAGCACTTGTTATGCTGCTGAGAGCTGGACAATGAGTAAGGATGACAGAAGAATTAATGTCTTTGAGCTGTGGTGTTGAAGAAGAACATTGAAGATCCCACAGACTTAAAAAAACACAACAGATGTGTCTTGGAGAAGGTATAGCCAGAGTACTCCTCAGAGGCAAAGATGATAAAGCTTTATCTCACATACTTGGGGTGTGTTGCTCAGAAAAGCTATTCCTTGGAAAGGAACATCATACTTGATGGAGAAAGAGAGGAAGATCCTCAACCAAGTGGACTGACACAGTAACTGCAGCAATGAGCTCAAGTGTATCAGAGCACAGGACAGGGTTCAAGTCTGTTCACAGAGTTGCTATAAGTCATACTCAACTCAACAACATCTAAAAACAACAATAAATGTTTACCATGGTCATATTTTCAATTTCCTAATTTTTTTACAATAAGAAAAAAAATATTATTTTATCATTCTGATAACAACTTTGTATTCTTTCAGGTCTTTGATTCCCTTTAAAAACAAACAAACAAACAACACAGTTCATTGCCAGTAAGAACTGGCTCACAGCTGACGCTCCAGTGGGTTTTTGGGAGGCTGTAAACTGCATGGGAAAAGACTGTCCATCTTTCTCTTTGGTGGATTCAAACCACCAGAGAGGTCTGGCCTTTATGTCAGCAGTGCAACTTCCTATGGACTAGCCCACCAGAGTTCCTCTGACACCTTTGTGGTGGTGGTGGTGTTGTAGACCACCCAGTCAGAACCAATACATAGCTGAACCTCCAGCAGATTTTCAGAGGCAGTAAACTGCATGGGAGTTGACTGCCCATTCTTCTCCCTTAGAGAAGCTGAGATTGCAGCGTAGTTTCTGAAACTGCAGCATAGTGCCTTACCACTAGGCCATCGCAGCTCCATACTGACATGCTTAGGTCCAGCAAATCTGTTTTCCGTCTTATCAAGACTCTAGACCCTGACTCCTTTCTATCTGGTTTCTTCCTCTATGCTATCACAGTGTTCAGTTCTCACTTTCATCAAGACACACAGCATCCTGTATTATAATAACAATGTTAACTGGTCTACGTTATGCAGATGACACAACCCTGCTTGCTGAAACTGAGGAGGACTTGAAGAGCTTGCTGCAGAGGGTCGAGGACTGCAGTCTTCAATATGGATTGAGGCTCAATATCAAGAAAACAAAGATTCTCACCACTGGGCCAATTGGCAGCATCAAGATAGATGGCGAAGAGATTGAGATTATTCACAGCTTTAATTTGATTGGCTCCACAGTCAACACTCTTGGCATCAGCAGTCAGGAAATTAAAAGATGTACTACAATGGGAAAGTCTGTTGTTAGGGACCTCTCCAAAGTACTGAAGAGCAGTGATGTCAATCTGGAGACTAAGGTGTGCCTGATACAGGCCATGGTCTTTGTAATCACTTGTTATGTGCCAGAGTTGGACAATGACTACGGAGGATAGAAGGAGAATTAATGCCTTTGAGCTGTGGTGCTGGAGAAGAGTATTGAGTGTATCATGGACTGCTAAGAAAATAAACAGGTTCACCCTAGAGTGGGTTAAACTGGGATGCTCCTTGGAGGCAAGGATTCTGAGGCTTCGTCTATCATACTTAGGACATGTTGCAAGGAGGGACCAGTCCTTGGAGAGGGTCATCATGCTTGGGAGGGTGGAGAAACAACGCAAGAGGGGAAGACTTTCTATGAGATGGATTGATTCAGTGACTGGGATAATTGGGGTGAGTGTGTCAGGGACAGTGAGATTGGCACAGGACAGAGCAGGGTTTAGGGCTATTGTACATAGGGTCGCTAAGAGTTGCAAGTGACTCGAAGGCACATAACAACAATGACAACTGGTCTTTGTCTTTAGATGCCAAGTTCCTTGGGATCAGGAAACATGCCTTAGGCCTCCATGCCTCTAATACCTCACACAGTGCCATGGCTTGACCAAGCACAGGTTTCTGAATAAGCTATGAGTGAATAAATAATGAAATAGCACTGATGCATATGAGTCAGACACTATTTCAAGTACTAATTCTGCCAACTACTTTCACATGACCTTGAGAAAGTCCGTCAGATTCTCTGAGTTTCAGCTGTAAGACAGATCATAATTCCTGCCCTATTCACTTCATGAATTTGTTAAGAGGTTTAAATATATGTAAATGTTAAGTATGACAATAATCATTACTTGTTCTAACCAGCTTAAACATATGACCTCGTTTTCCTCAAGTTGCTTGTCTTGGTTCACTAGAATCACCTTTTTATTACCACTTGACATTAATAGTTTTAGAGCTGACTAGCCATGAGTTGTTCTACACTGTTTATCCACCAATACCCCAAAGAAGATAAGGCACAGCCAGGAATACTTATTGTCCTGATACAATACCTGCTCCTTTTTGTTGTTGTTCTGTGTCATGGAGTTGCCTAAGACTCATAGGGACTATCTGCACAATACCTGTGAACCTTGCCCTGAGCCAATCTCATCATCTCCCACACACCTAATACCTCAGTTTTTAAATAAATCCATTTCATCCAGGGTCTTCCTCTCCTGTGATGTCCCTCCTCCCTCCAAGCACGATGTCCTTTTCCAAGGACTGGGTTTTCCTGGCAACATGCCCAAAGTATGTGAGATGGAGCTTCAACAGCCTTGCTTCCAAAGAGGGGCATGGTTTCACCCTCTGTAGGACAGACCTGTTTATTCTCTTGGCAGTCCTCAGTATGTTCAATATTCTTCTCCAGTACCACAACTTAAAGGAATTAATTCCTCTTCTATTATCCTTAGTCATTGTCCAGCTCTCTGATGCATAGCAAGTGACTGCAAAGACTATGACCTGTATCAGGCACACCTTAGTCTCCAGACTGACATCATTGCTCTTCAGTATATTTTCCCAATGCCATTCATCTTTTAATTTCGTGATTGCTGGTGCCAAGAGTGTTTATCATGGAACAAAGAAAACAGCAAGTATTAACAATCTCAGTCTCTTCTCTATCAAAATGCTGCCAATAGACCCAGTGGTGAGATTCTTGGTTTTCTTGATGATGAGTTTCAATCCATATTTAAGACTACAGTCCTTGCCTTTCTGCAGAGCATACCATTGTTCAGACACAGAGAAAGGATTCCCAAATCTTTCCTGGGAGGATGTTTTAAGTATTCTAAACCTTCATGTCTCCAACAATATAAAGGAAGGAAAGAGAAGGGAGATCAGAGAATCATTAAGGAAATGGAAATCACATGTCACTTTCATAACTCTGGGTTACAAAGAAATCAATAACGATTATCACTAAAACTCAGAAAAATGAATCCAAATAGAATCTGCACTAGGAATGAACTTTTTTTTCCAAATGAAAATAAGATTTCAGTAGTTCCCAAACTTACTTGTATATTAGAATTCCATGAAATAAAAAAGTACTAATTTAGATAATTTCCTAGACCAATCAAATCACAACTTCTTGAGGTGAGATGAGAAACCCTGGTTATGTGGACGTTAAGCACTCTTCTGTTAGCCAAAAGGTTGGTGGTTTGAACTCACCAGTCACTCCAAAGGAGAAAGATGTGGCAATCTGTTTCCTTAAAGATGAAAGCCTTGGAAAAGGCATGGTATATTCTACTCTGTCCTACAGTCACTGTAATCAGAATCAATTAGATAGCAGATTTGGTGTGGTGTTAAGGGTTTACTGTTCAAAATGGCCTCCGTAGGTATTGACTTTGACTTTGTCATGTGGATGGCTGGGACTCTCTGAATAGGGTGTGTTAGCCTATCCACAAGGGAACAGGCTAGTCTCGCCCACAGATTCAGTGGCAAATTTTGAGAATCTCACCACCAGCAAAGAAGCAGAGGATGCAGTGCATCGTTTAGGACCAGAGATTTTCACACCAGCCTGACCTCCAGGAACCACAGCAGAGAACGAGAGACCTACATGAGACCCAGCTGACCTTGGGACTGCTGTGCCACGAAACCAGAGCTAAGAGCCTTTTGCCCAAGTTTTATAGAGGACTTGAGGGGAGAGCCATAAACAGCAAGACTGAAAGCTTTGTAACACTTGCCTAAAGAGAGACGTGACGCTGAAGGCTGAGTTGCCTGTGAGCACATTTCAGAATCTATCCTGAGTGGTTGTGTCTGCTACTAACCCGAACTACAGCCTTTTGATTCCTTAATATGGTTCTGTGTGGTCTGTGAACTACTGAAATGGATTTTGGACCCAGGAAGGCAGTATGATTGGTATTGGAGTGAGGAGAAAAAGGAGCAGAAGTATGGAAAGCATGTCTGACCCCGTGGGAATTGTTTTTGTGTTGTTGATGTGAACAGTTTCCCTTTGTGGAGTTTGTAAAGGTCAGATATGGCTGTCTCTAGGTGGCTCTTACTCTTTCTACATTTTTTTGGGGGGGGATGGTTTGGAATAGGAAACAAATATTAAGATTTTGAAACTATTTAGTTAATTCAACGTGTATAGTCAGAGGTTTGGCAATCTTATTAAATTTCAACTTGAATTTAACCTTTTATTTCCTGCTATTCTATTCAGAGAAAAATAACTAAACCATTGGTAATTTAAAGATCACAAAAAAACTTGCCTCAAAAGTCATCTGAAAGAGTGCTTCCCTTGGTGTGTCTGGGAAATGGCTGGCTGCCTCTGAAGTCCAGGTCAGCTTTGCAGACAATCTCAGTAGTAGAGACTGTATTTCTGTGTGAAAAGAAATGGCAAAAAAAGTAGTATAGTCTGGATAAGCATCAGACCTTCTGGAATTGTTTATTAAACTGATGAGCCAAGAAAGCTTTTCCTTGATGAAAAGATTATCTGCAAAATTTAAAGTATGATTTGAAATGACTATGCATCAGCAAATTGCTTGAACATTTAGAATTATATTACGGGATTAAGATATTTAATCTCATGTTTTCAATTTTTCACATTTGCTAAATCAATTTGCATTTTCAGTTAATTTCCACAAGGTCATATCCAATACTGGAAATACTGAGTTGATATTTTGAAAATAAAAAGTATCAGCTAAAGTTAACAAATCAGTTCATTATTTAATAAAGACAAATCTGGTAAGTGAACTAATTTAGAGCTAAAAAGAGAAAAATTCAAGAATGTTCCTTTAGGGCATGTTCTTTAATGAGGTAATCTTTAACAAAGAAAAGCAAACCTGGCAATTTAATTAATGACTTAAGCATTTGGTGTATTTATATGTGCTGAAACAGAACTTTCCACAAAGCATTGGTGAGTCCTGAGTCACCATCAACAAAATGAACATGAAAGTATATACCATCTTTCTGCCTCTCTGTATCCTGGCACTCAGAAAAAAATGAATTTACATTTTACAAAACCTCTCCCTCCAACTTTCCCTCTATATTAGAATAACAGTGGAGAACTAAATATGAATGCTGTTAGGTGTATCAAGCTGGTCCATTCATAGTGATCCCTGCAACACAAAGAAACAGGTACGGCACTATCCTCACGATTGTTGCTAAGTTTGAGCATGAGTGCACCGCCACAGCCACCGAGTCAATCCACCTTGTTGCAGGTTATCATTTTTGCTGATCAAGCATGAAATCTTTTTTCAGATATTGGTCTCTCTCGATAACATGTCCAAAGTATATGAGACAGTGTTTTTGTTATGTTCCTGAAACTGACCCATAGCTGATCCTCCAGTGGGTTTTCAGAGGCAGTTAATCGCACAGGAAGAGACTGCACATCCTTCTTACACAGAGCAGCTGGTGGTTTTGAACTGCATGCCTTTGGGATCACAGTGCTGCATCTTTTCACCAGGCCACCAGAGCTCTTAATATAAGATTGCTGTTGTTAAGTGCTGTCAACTCACTTGTGACTCATAGCGACCCTATGTACAACAGCTCTGAAGCCTGCCCTGTCCTGAGCCAGTCTCACTGACTGCAACACACCAACCCCCATTGCCCTAGCTACGGTATCAATCCATCTCATCCAGGGTCTTCCTCTCCTGCGTCATTCCTCCACCCTTCCAAGCACGATGTCTCTCTCAAAGGATTGGTCTCTCCGGCCACATGCCCAAAGTATGTGATATGGAGCTTTAAAATCCTAGTCTCCAAGGAGAAACTTGGTTTCATCCTCTCCAAGATAGACCTATTTGTTTTCTTGGAGCTCCATGGTCTATTCAAGACTCTTCTCCAGCACCACAACTCAAAGGCATCAATTCTTCTTCTATCCTCCTTAGTCATTATCCAGCTCTCTGATGCAGAGCAAGTAATTGCAAAGATCATGGGCTGGATCAGGCTCACCTTAGTCTCTATATGGACATTGTTACTTCTCAGTACTCTGGAAAGGTCCCTGACAGCAGATTTACCTAATGAGATTAGGTTTCCCCAATCTCTATTCTAAAGAGCGTTCTGTGTATGTTTCTTCCAAGACAGATTTGTTGGTTTTTCTGCAAGTCCACAGTTTATTCAATATTCTTTGTCAACACCATAATCCAAAGCATAAATTATTTAGTCTTCTTTTTCATTTTCCAGCTGTTATATGCTTATGAATTAACTAAAAACATCATGATTTATGAGGGGTGTGCCATAGTGATTACAGTGGTATCATAAGGTTTTTTTAATACTTTAGAAAGAGGTCTTTCATAGTAAATTTGCACAATGCAATATATTGTTTGATTACTTACTGTTGCTTTCATTGGCCGTGATTACAGACCCAAGTAAAATATAAATATATCTCTTTCATTGCCATCTGTAAATTCTACCTCATAAATAAGACCGACAATGTTTATACTATGTAATAATTGAACTTTAGCAACAAAGTAATAATAAAACATACTTTAACATAAGGCGATAATAACTATCCTACTACACTGGTTCACTCACTGATGTTATTAATAGGCACCCTCTAGTGGGTTTCCAAGGCTGTATCATAGAGATGAGACTGCCCATCTTTCTCTTAAGGAACCATTAGTGGTTCAAACTCCCAGAGATGCACACCTTTGGATTAGCATTGTAACTTGCTATGCCATCAGAACTCTTTACTACAGACTTGCTGTTGTTATGTGCCGTCAAGTTGCTTGTGACTCATTGCGACCCCATGTACAATAAATAGCCCTGAAACCTGCTCTATCCTGTACCAATCTTATTGTTTCTGACACACCTACCCTAATTACCTCAGTCACTGAATCAGTCCCTCTCATTTAGGGTCTTCTTCTCTTGTGCTGTGCCTCCACCCTCCCAAGCAAAATGTCCCTCTCCAAGGACTGGTCCCTTCTGGCCACATGCTCAAAATATGTCAGATTAAGCTTCATAATCCTTGCCTCCAAATAGCAGGCTGGTTTCACCTGCACCAGGATTAACTTGTTTGTTCTCCTGACACTCCATGGTGTATATTCAGTACTCTTCTCCAGCCCCATAGCTCAAAAGCATCAATTCTTTTTCTAACATCCCTAGTCATTCTCCAGCTTTCTGACACATATCAAGTAACTGCAAAGACTACAGTCTGGATCAGGTGTATCTTAGTCTCCAGACCGACACTGTTGTTCTTCAGTACTCTGGAGCGGTCTCTAACAGCAGATTTTCCCAATACAATTTGTCTTTTGATCTCCTGGCTGCTGGTACCAAGAGTGTTGATTGCGAAGCCAAGCAATCTGAAGCTGTTAACAATCTCAATCTCTTCAACATATATCATGATGTTACCAATTGGCCCAGTGATGAGAACCTTTGTTTTCTTGATGTTGAGCTTCAATCCATATTGAAGTATAGATATACCTAAAAGTTCTAGTTGTCAATCTTCATGGGTATATATTAAAAGGAAGGAAATAATGATATATGCTACAACATGGATAAGTATACTAAGTGATATATCCAGACACAAAAGGACAAATACTATATGATTCCACTTAGAGAAAACATCTACAATGTGCAAAGTCAAAACATCTAGAATGTGCAACATCTAAAATGCACAAAAGGATTAGAGGCTACTCTGGTTGCACAGCTGACACAGCTCTTGTTTTGGCAGTCCATGAGATATTCAGTACTCTTCTCCAACACCACAACTCACCAATTCTTTTTCTGTCATCTGTATTCACTGTCTAGTTCTCAGATGCACAGCAAGTGATTGAAAATGCCATGATAAGGCATGACTTATTCTTTAACGGACCTTAATCAGGAATGCCTTAGTCTTTAAACTGACATCATTTATTGTTCTTTAGTACCTGGAAGAGGTCCTTGACAGCAGACTTTCTCAATGCATTATGTCTATAACTTCCCGGTTGCTGGTACCAAGGGTGTTGACTGTGGAACCAAATAACATGAAATTGACGGTTTCAATCAGGGAGGGTTATATGTGGAGTAAATGTTTAACAAGTACAGAGTTTATGTTTGTGGTGAGGAAAAAGTTTTGGAAATATAAGTAAATTCATTCCAGCAGTTGTTTTGTAAACTCCTTGGAATTTTACGTAAGTCTGTAGTGATTTTCATATAATCAGGTCACATGCTAATAAAGACATTTTGCTTCTGTTTTATTAATCTTCCTATTTGATATTTCTTTGTCTTATTACAGTTATTTTTAAGTGATATTTCAAAGAGTTGTTGAAAATTAGAAAATTCTGGGAGCTCTGGGGGCCTAGAGACAAGAAGCTGTACTATAATCCCAGAGGTATGTGGTTTGAATCTACCAGATGCTCTGCTGGAAAAGGAGTTAGCAGTCTCCTCCTGTACCAGTCAGATCCAACTTGACAGTACACACACACACACACACACATTTAGAAAATTCTTACTCTTTTATCAACCATCTCTAAAGAATTCTGGTGCCAATGTCGGCAGGAAGCTGGGCTCCTAATCCAGACATGGCCTGTAGTAATACTCCTATATTAATAAAGCATTAGGGGGAAAGAAGTGGAACCAACATGAGAACCTATAATTTCGTAGCTAATTGTGCATCTTAAAATAAAATGCATCACATCAGCAAAACTGAATGCCAACTATTGGTACACTATGGTATCAAAGCTAAAAATGCAACCTACAAGCTAAACACTAAGTTTAATCTAAATTTCCTCTTTGATCCCTGTACCTAAAAACATGAAACATTTTAATAAGAAAGATAATAGAACAAGTGTATACTAATACACACTCAGAAATGTGTAAACAAAGACAAAACTATCTTGTGGGCCTAGTGGTAAGGAGCTATGCGGCCAACCCAAAGGCAAGCCACTTGAATCCACTAGCTGCTCTGTGGGAGAGGGAGAAAGAAGGGCAATCTCCTCTCCTGCAATTCACAGCCTCCGAAAATTTGCTGAAGGGTCAGCTATGAGTCAGTCCCAACTTGATGTTACATAACAACAATGCCCATTTATTAGCTAGGAATTGGCTATAATAGTTTAATTATAATTTCCAATGCTAGCAAAATGGATTGTATCTCAAAATCAAGAAAACAAGAACCGTCACCACTGGACAAGTTGGTGACATTATGATAGTGGAGAGAAGACTGAAGTTGTCAATGATTTCATCTTACTTGGATTCAATATTCACACTCTTTGTACCAGTAGTCAAGAAATCAAGGGGAGCTCTGGTGGCCTAGTAGCAAGACGCTGCACTGCAATCCCAGAGGAACA